TGGTCTTAAAAACATGCTTACCATTCGGACAATTGCGGTTAATGGAAGTACACAACTCATCTTGTGTCAAAAGCCTGTTCAATTTTTCGCTAAGAGGTGGTTTACAGCTATGGAATTAGAGAGAAAAGGGGGTAACCTAGATGTCATGACGTATAACGCCGTCATCGGTAATGTTATCAAAGCGTGGCAATCATTACCATGACCTAGATAAGTCTCGGCTTTCCCCACGGCGTTATCAAGGCTAAGATCTGCGAATAATGCTACGAATTGGGCACATCGAGCTCTGTTAGTCCTTAAACCATCTTACTGACTGAATGATTGCATATTGTGCATGCGAAGCAGAATGGAACTTGGAGATTGGCGAGTTCCTAATGGAAAGCCGACCAACTATTTAATGGCACGCAAAAAAGCATTGACCTTATGTGGCTCAGTGCCACATAGAGCATATAATTTTTCTAAATCGCAAGACGCTAAAAATGTGTCGTATCGCTGATATGAAAGTGCACCTTTTGCAAGGACGCAGTAAACGCAACCAAGGCTATAGGAGAAACATTATACAAGTGTCGTGTATTTTTGTTTGTGTTTTGTTGTTGCCGTGATTATAAGTTTGTGTTGTGTGTTGTTGACGCAACGATACATTTGACGGTTAACTGCTGAGCGGTTAAGGCTTTTTGGGATCAGATGTGGAGTGCTTTCAAGTGAAGCAGTGGGGAATATCTGACGGTGCAGCTTACACCTGCCTTTATTCTTTGGAATTCATACCGGCAGTTAATGCGATCTCAACCCGTTTTGGTTGCTGGCCAAGTCGTTCATTTCAAAACAAATTGAACGCAAAAAAGATGACTATGTCCTCGTCTTTGATGCAGTTAAGGACCTTCCAGGGAGTGCAGGCGTTTGATTATGTAATGAAAGGTGGAGCCGAGGGGCTCATGTTATCGTGGAACGCGACGGAAAAGATGATGAAGGCGTAATAGGTTAATGCAGCTGTGAAAAGTAATGTGAGCTTGCGGCGTTTATTATGTGTATGCGTGTTCAACAGAAAAGCGAGCTGGAAGAGGCCAGAGAAGTACACCAGACCGACAGGATATATGTTCAGCGAATGGGTAAGAGGAAGCAGAACGAGGTAAGTAAATATGAGCTCGAATTAGAAAACGGATCAATAAAACGCCAGCGGTAAACTAAATGATGTCGGTAGTGATGATGCGCGTGATGTAACGATTTTATGTGATGGTGTTGCTGTATCCCACGGATTTGGCATGATGTTTTTTCTTCGGTTAGCTATGTAAATGTTTGGATGTTGAGACGGTTAAGTGAATCCAAGATGGAAAAGCTATTTTGCCGATTTCATAAAGCCAAACGGTGCGTGATGCCCCTCGACATGGCCTAAATTTCCAGAAGGAAGCGCCAAATGCATCCCTGTCAATTTTTGATATGTTTTGTAAATAATCCAAAAGTGCGCGTATTTTTGTGCGGTTCGAATGTTTGTTTATGCGGAAAAGAGCGATAATTTACATAGAAAACTATCATATGACCACGGGGCACACGAACTTTGCTCAGATCATGACCTATCGCTATGGTTACCTTCTGCAAAGCACATGCTGAGGTCAAAATAGGCCACGTTGTGAAACAGTATCGCTCATGTAGGCTACTGCTGGACCGATTTTGAACTGGTCACCTGATTTGACCCGACTCAGTGGGGAACAGAAATGGCCGGAGGCCCCTCCACAGTCACAGCACTTATCCCCGTCACCTCAAGATCCGTCTTGGCGTGTTAACAAAGGTTTTAACTGCATCCATTGGAACGATGGTTTTTGACAACTCGTGACACCTGGTGACTTGACATTTGACCTAACGTCAAAAATGTGGGTACATTCTTCATGATTGGACGGGACCTCCAAAACAGTATCTTTGTTTTCTCATGCGGCGTCTGGAAGTAGGAGACCCCAGGAGGGGATCAACTCCCCCCCCTCCCCGGCCCGACGCACTTGTCTCAGACCCCTGGCCGGACGCGGGGTAAATCGTCTGCTTTCTTCCCAACACTCCAGCGTTTTGTATCACGTAATTTTTATGTGGTGGCATGCTGCATTTGCACGGCTACGTTATGAATATTGCTAACTTCGACTTTGCTGTTACATCTCTATTTTGATTTGGTTTGTAACGAGACTACTTATAACTTAATTGATTCATCTACTCCATATTGCGAAACATGCGAGAAAAAACGTTCGTCGGTTTCCGTCAAAAGCCTGCCATTGACGGCTTAGCAGCCTTTTAGATACTCTGAAGTCATTTACCATAAATCACAAATGTTTGCGGCCAGGATCTTATTTTGGTCGAATCGTAAAGATTGTATGTCTAAGCGCTTCCCTAGATTACATATTTAATCATGCGTGTTCATCGATGAGTTGGAATTTGAAATCAAGAGGCGGGAAACACTTCCTTTAGCCGCGGCTGGAAGGTTGCTCGCCAAACCTCGATGGCAAACTATGTCCAGGTATTATTATACATATGGTATATTGGTGTGGCACCACGTTCCGCTAATCTGCCGAGTGTTACACCGCCCTGCG